TGGCCATGCTAAATTGCTCACAGTGTCCAAGGGTGTGTAGGTTAGGTAGATTAGCCAAGGGAAATGCAGGGTAACAGGGATGGGGTGGGTCTGGACTGGATGCTGTTCGGAGGGTCGCTGATGTCTCAATGGGCCAAATGGGCTGCTTCCACACTGTGAGGATTCTATGACTATTATGTAATGGAAATAATGTGGAGAAGTTTTCCCAGCTAAGGAGGGGTAGATTTGTTGTGGGTGTATACAGTGAATTAAATGCCTTGCAGTTGCTATCCAGTTGAGGTGTTGTCATCACACAACCCTGTTCTGTGTTTGTGCAGTGTGGGATAGAAGAGGAACTAGCTCTGTCCCTTGAGACTGTAAGACTGTTAACCATCTGAAGCTTAGTTAATCTCTGCTGTTGGGGATAGTCACTCAGTTCTAATATTTTTATTTTGGTTTTACATTAGCAGCAAATCCATGATTTCTACAGCCCTCTGTCTAATTGTAAAATGACAGTGACGAAGGATTTCAGATTCTGCACCCCAGTTCTGTGTCTCAGCCCAAAGAAGTAGGTGCATCCCCTGGAAAGCACTTGGGATCAGACTGAAGGTGTATCTCGGCCACAGAAAGCATATTGGGATTGATTTTTCAGATCCCATGATAGTAGTGAATGGGAGTCCCGCTGGACAGTGGTGTGGGTCAGAGAAAAGGTCAGAGAGCTGTAGTCTGATCTTAAACCTGTGTTCTTTCGATTGTGGCTACATGGAGAGAAACACCAGTACCAAAAAAAAGGAATATCACTTGGAAATTCATGTACTGGTCATATTGGAGCTCCCTTTTGAAATACACAAGATGAATTGGACCATTACGTCCCATTCTCAGGTTTTACAGTCTTTTTTTCTTTCAGGGTAATAGGTTGCGAAAAACATGATCCTTCATTTTAACATAATTACAATTGAAAACAGCATTGACCATCATTTTCTTTTTAAACAGGGGAATACGTCGTCATGACGCTATACTTCGATTTAAGTCGAAGAATGGGATATTTCACGATTCAGACCTACATTCCCTGCATATTGACTGTTGTTCTATCATGGGTTTCATTCTGGATTAAGAAAGATGCAACTCCAGCCAGGACAGCACTTGGTAAGTTACCTTTTGCACCAAATTTAGTACCCAGGACCTTGACTGATTGCTATTTCATTAATTGGCAAATGAACTAGGAGCAACATGAGAGAAAAATGAATTATGCGGTGTGTTGCTATGATCAGGAATGTACTGTCTGAAAGCGTGTGGCTAAAGATTCAACAAGTTAGATAATTGCTTCACAAATGTTTTAAACATTGTCACAATATATGGAATGAGCAGGTTGGACTAAGTGGATAACTCCATTAAAGAGTCAGCAGAAGGATTATTGTGGTACAGTGGTAGTGTTCCTACCTCTTAACTAGGAAGCCTGCATTCATGTCTCACCTGCGCAAGAGATGTGAAATAACATCATGGGGCAGGTTAATTAGAAATGATCTTATAAAGAAGAAGCATAGTGTTACAGAGTCATACAGCATGGAAACAGGCTCTTCGGTCCAACCCATCCATGCCGACTAGACATCCCAATCTGACCTCGTCCCATTTGGCCCATATCCCACTAAACCCTTTCTATTCATGCACTCATCCAGATGCCTTGTAAATGTTGTAATTGTACCAGCCTCGACCACTTCCTCTGGCAGCTCATACACACACCACCTTCTGTATGAAAAAGTTATCCCTGAGGTCCCTTTTAAAACTTTCCCCCTTAAACCTATGTCCCTCTAGTTTTGGACTCCCCTACCCTGGGGAAATCAAACCTTGGCTATTTGCCCAATCCATGCCCCTCATGATTTTATAAACCTCTATAAAGTCATTACTCAGTCTTTGATGTGCCAAGTAAAAAAGACCCAACTTATTTAGCCTCTCCCTATAGCTCAATTCCTCCAGTCCTGGCAACATCCCTGTAAATCTTTTCTGCGCTCTCTCAGGTTTAACAACATCCTTCCTGTAGAAGGGAGACCAGAATTGTACGCAGTATTCCAAAGGTGGCCTGACCAATATCCTGTACAGCCACCACATGACCACCCAACTCTTATACTCAATGTTCTGACCAATGAAAGCAAGCATGCCAAATGACTTTTTCACCACCCTGTCTACCTGAAACTCCACTTTCAAGGAACTATGCACCTGCACCACTAGGTCTCTTTGTTCGGCAACACTTCCCAGGGCTCTATATGTATAAGTCCTGCCCTGGTTTGCCTTACCAAAATGCAGCGCCTCAGGTTTATCTAAATTAAACTCAGTCTGTCACTCCTCGGCTCATTGGCCCAGCTGTTCAAGGTCCCATTGTACTCTGAGATAATCTTCTTTGCTGTTCACTGCACCTCCAATTTTGGTGTCATATGCAGACTTACCAACCATTCCTCCTATTTTCACATCCAAATCATTTATATAAATGACAAAAAGCAGTGGACCCAGCACCGACCCTTGTGGCATACTGCTGGTCACAGGCCTCCAGTCTGATAAACAACCCTCCACCACCACCCACTGTCTCCTACCTTCAAGCCAATTTTGAATCCAATTGGTTAACTCCCCATGGATCCCATATGATCTAACCTTACTTACTTGTCTACCATGCAGAATCTTATTGAACACTTTGCTGAAGTCAATGTAGACAACGTCCACCAGTCTGCCTTCATCAGTCTTCTTTGTCACCTTTTCAAAAAGCTCAATCAAATGAATGAGACATGATTTCCCATGCACAAATCCATGTTGGCTATCCCTAATCACTCTTTGCATTTCCAAATGCATGTAAATCCTGTCTGCCACATCAGCCAAATGACCTCCTTCAGTACAGTATCATTCTTTGATACCTTGAATTTTCCTTTACAATTTATAGCCACTTAAAACCTATGCAACATGGGTTTTTCTACTATTAGTTGACTGTGGCTATCCTTTGGATGTTCTTCCTCTTGACACACTAAGGGGTAGTTGACAAAACTTTGAGGCAAACTTTTCAATGTCTTAAACATAATGCAAAGGCTCTTGTTGTGCAGTGGTAGTTTCACTACCTCCGAGCCAGTAGGCCTGGGTTCAAGTCTTGCCTGCTCCCGCAGTGTGTAATAATATCACTGAACAGATTGATGAGGAAAATGTCCATAATGTTATATAAAAGAAAGTTGGATGTTAGGACCAGAAGCAACACATTTAAAGGTTTGGAAGACTGTTCTGATGAGGAGTCACTGGACTCAGAACATTAACTCTGCTTTATTCTCACAGATGCTGCCAAACATGCTGAGTTTGTCCAGCAATTTCTGTCTTTGTAGCAAGATTATCATGCTGTTTGAACTCAAATCCTCCAGTTAGGTTTCAATGAAAACATATTGATGTACATCCACAGGTGTCAATAAGACTAGAGCTTGTAAAGATAAGGCAGTCACTAATCAATCCAATGAGGAATTCAGGAGAAACTACTTTATCCAAAGAGTGCTTAGATTATGGAATCTGCCAACACATAAAGCAGACGAGAGGATACTGTAGATGCCTTTAAAGAGAAGCAAAATACAAGATCAGGGGAGAAAGAAATTGAAGCTTACACTGAAAGGACGGCTTAGAGTGGAGGATTAAAACAGAAGTACTATGGGTGGAACAATGTGAGTTATGATGAGCAATTTAGGAAAATTGAGTGTGATGTCAAGCTCTCACTGACATATTGATACTAAAATTTTGTAACCAAGTCCCGGATGACAAATGAAATTCTTGCACGTGAGCAGTAAGAGGCCTGTTAACTGGAATTATCGCTCATTATCACCATCATTAGCACCTAATTCTGCCTCATTAATGTGCAGGCTCCCATTCTCCCACACGTCAGAGGCTGAGGGGGGACCTTATAGAAATTTATAAAATCATGACAGGCATGAATAGCCAAGGTCTTTTTCCCAGGGTGGGGAGTCCAAAACCAGAGGGCATAGGTTTAAGATGAGAGGGGAAAGATTTGAAAGGGATCTAAGGGGCAACTTTTTCCACACAGAGGATGGTGCATGTATAGAATGAGCTGCCAGAGGAAGTGGTGGAGGCTGGTACAATTACAACATTTAAAAGCCATCTAGATGAGTACATGAATAGGAAACGTTTAGAAGGATGTGAACCAAATGTTGACAAATGGGACTAGATTAATTTAGGATCTCTGGTCAGCATGGACGAGTTGGACCGAAGGGTCTGTTTTAGTGCTGTACAGCTCTATGACTTTATGATGCTGGATAGAAACTAGATGCCGGGAAATCACGACATGAAATTTAGCGCGTGTACTTGGTGAATCAAACTCACTGCTTGCTCCTCGGGATCTCTAACCTGGACATCCAGTATGAGCCTCTCTGGGCAGGCTCAAAGGGCAGCAAACACAAGCATCCCAGGTATAAAGAGACTTGCATCTGACATATACCAGCCTCACTTATTCAGCATGGCACATCTCCAATCCCCTTCTGCACTTTGACCTGCACAGAATCCTCTCATTGTAAACCCTAGCATTGAGGGTTTGTCATATGAGCAAGTTGGCAGTCTACTGACTGGAGTTTAGAAGAATGAGAGATGATCTCATTGAAACATATGGGATTCTTAAGGGGTTTGACTGAGTAAATGCTGACAGGATGTATTCCTCTCATGTCTAGGACCAGAGAGAATAATCTCATAAAAAGGGGCACCAAATTAAAATTGAGATGAGGAGGAATTTCTTCTCTCACAGGGTTTTGAGTCTGTGGAACTCCATGCCACAGAGAGCTTTGGGGGCTGAATCCTTGTGTGTATTTAAGGCTGAGATAGGTAGATTGTTGATCAGTCAGGGAATCCAGGGTTAGGGAGAAAGGGCAGGAATATGGACGAGAGCAACGTTGGATCAACTATGATCTTGTGAATGGTGGAGCAGGCTCAAGGGGCCAAATGGCCTACTGGTGTTCCTATTTCTTATGGTCTTAAACCAACCATCCAGCCAACCGAGCTAGTCAACCCCTATTGGCATAGAACTTGTTTCTAAAGAAGGGTCCTGACCCGAAACGTCAACTTTCCTGCTCCTCTGATGCTGCCTGGCCTGCTGTGTTTCTCCAGCTCCACACTGTGTTATCTCTAGTTAAAATGCTAACCTATTCATAAACTCCCCAACACATACACTGCAACTTGGGAATTTCCCATTAGTCTGTGTTTTGACACCACTTCCCAGAACATTCACTGAGACAATAAGTCAGCTGCTGTCTGCATCATTGTACCTGCTTCATGACCAAATGCTACAGCAATCAAAACATTTAAAGTGTGCAACCCATTTGTAGAAACTTTTGAAAGAAAGACTGAAGATCTTTCTCTTTGCCTGCCAAACATTGCACTCTACTCTGTGCTGGAGATGTATTTTCAGATTTTTGACAGGTTGGAAATTCAATATCCCAGTATGCTAGGAAATGATCTCACCTCATGGTGTGCTGTCTGCCTCGTCTGAGCCATCAAGGTCAGGACTGAGCAAGTGCAGCAACATGACAGATGTCAAGTCAAAATGTTTATTTAAAGCTATGTGGTTTGCAGTGCATTAGTGGTGCTTATAAAAGTAGAGTCACACTCGAAACCTGCTGAACATTTGGTCTAAAGTAGTCAGGAGAGGGTTATCAAAACAAATTGAAGTGAGTTAAAATGAATCTTGTAAAAGGAGGAGTTGTATATGATAAATTTGTCATGCCATGTTACCAGATATCAAATGTTCATGCTAATTTAATGAATGCTGCACATCAGTTAAAAAACAAGAATTCTAAATGTTCATTGAATGGAATTGAATTTGCAAGAGAAGTCTTAAGAGAAGGACCCAGAACTGATTGTATACTCCTAATGTTCAATACTTCAACAAAATGAGGGCAAGTTAAGTTACAAAAAATAGAATTCTGGATTAAATAACAAGAACAGTAAGATTTGGAGGTGAATTTCATGATGAAAGTGGGAATTTCAATAGGCTCCCAGGTGGCTGAACAGCTTATTAAGGCTATGAATGAGATGGGGAGAATCGTCAGATCCCTACAGGTTCAGGAGCTCTCTCTGTTCTCTGCAGTAAAAGCCTCATTAAGCCTGAATCTATTTTTCAGAAGAAG